AACAAGGCCTTCTTGGCACTTTCCTATTTTTCAGTCAGGAAACATGTCCCAGATGCTGGGGATGCTGGAAATGCAAGGGATGCAACCACAGGAGCAGACCCAATCGCATCCAACATTTCAAGACTTTCAGACACGCAAAATTGACGTATCACAGAGAATGCCAGAGATGTAGGGAATGCTGGGAATGCAGCCGGCTGGCCACAAAAGAGTCCAAAAAACCAGGATTTGTTGATATTTTCCAAAAGCAGATACTTCAAACACCCTAAAAATAGACTTCCAAAAACACGATAATGCAGGGGATGTTTCGCAGTAACTGCTCCGTACACGTGGGGAATTGCAAAAATTAAAGGACCGGATAACCCCACATGCTATGTTTTTCCCAAGGATGTGAGTTCAAATGTCCACACACATGTACCGTGCGCTCCTTGTATGGATGCGATTACAGAGCAGGTCTAGCGCGCTTTTTTCATCGCAGGCGTTGCTAACCTACCGAGCCGCTAATCAACAAAACAAAGCAAGTTCGAGACATTCTCGAACTTAGTCCATCTTGTTAGATTATTGGCTGCGCCGCACGTGCATCTCAGGAGGTCATCTTGCAGCTCAGCATCGGAGAAGATCTGGACACTTTCCCAAAGAGAAATAGCACAGCTCTGTCACCCTGCCTCATGTACTCACAGCTCTGCACTTACACAAGCCTTGTAGACGACCCTTTAGACATCCGAGAAGTGTGAGTGAGTGTGAGTATGAATGCGAGCGAATGAGTGACAAAATGCTGCCCCTGCCACACAAACACACACCCAGATGCACAGAATGCTGCGCCTGCCACGACTTCGGCAATGGCATCTCCACACCCAGATGCACAGAATGCAGCGCCTGCCACGACTTCGGCAACGGCATCGCCAAAGTGCTGCGCCTGCCACGATTTCGCACGCCCCCGCCGCGCGCGCGACAACATCCTGTCCCTCTAGACAGCTGCCGAATGCTACCCCTGCCACACAAACACACACCCAGATGCACAGAATGCTGCGCCTGCCACGACTTCGGCAACGGCATCGTTAAAGTGCTGCGCCTGCCACGATTTCGCACGCCCCCCGCGCGCGCGCAACATCCTGTCCCTCTAGACAGCTGCCGAATGCGACCCCTGCCACACAAACACACACCCAGATGCACAGAATGCTGCGCCTGCCACGACTTCGGCAACGGCATCGCCAAAGTGCTGCGCCTGCCACGATTTCGCACACCCCCCGCGCGCGCGCGCGCGACAACATCCTGTCCCTCTAGACAGCTGCCGAATGCTACCCCTGCCACACAAACACACACCCAGATGCACAGAATGCTGCGCCTGCCACGACTTCGGCAACGGCATCGCCAAAGTGCTGCGCCTGCCACGATTTCGCACGCCCCCCGCCGCGCGCGCGACAACATCCTGTCCCTTTAGACAGCTGCCGAATGCTGCGCCTGCCACGATTTCGCACGCCCCCTGCCGCGCGCGCGACAACATCCTGTCCTTTTAGACAGCTGCCAAATGCTGCCCCTGCCACACAAACACACCCCCAGATGCACAGAATGCTGCGCCTGCCACGACTTCGGCAATGGCATCGCCAAAGTGCTGCGCCTGCCACGATTTCGCACGCCCCCCGCCGCGCGCACGACAACATCCTGTCCCGTTAGACAGCTGCCGAATGCTGCGCCTGCCACGATTTCGCACGCCCCCCGCCGCGCGCGCGACAACATCCTGTCCTTTTAGACAGCTGCCAAATGCTGCCCCTGCCACACAAACACACCACCCAGATGCACAGAATGCTGCGCCTGCCACGACTTCGGCAATGGCATCGCCAAAGTGCTGCGCCTGCCACGATTTCGCACGCCCCCCGCCGCGCGCGCGACAACATCCTGTCCCGTTAGACAGCTGCCGAACGCTGCGCCTGCCACGATTTCGCACGCCCCCCGCCGCGCGCGCGACAACATCCTGTCCTTTTAGACAGCTGCCAAATGCTGCCCCTGCCACACAAACACACACCCAGATGCACAGAATGCTGCGCCTGCCACGACTTCGGCAATGGCATCGCCACAGTGCTGCGCCTGCCACGATTTCGCACGCCCCCCGCCGCGCGCGCGACAACATCCTGTCTCTTGCGCGACAACATCCAGTCCCTTTACACGGTGTGAGTGAAAGCTGAGTGTGAGTGAGTCAGCGAGTGTGAGTGAGTGAGTGAGCGAGTGAGTGAGTGAGTGAGTGATGAGAGTGAGTGAATGAGAGTGAGTGTGAGTGAGTGAGTGTGAGTGAGCGTGAGTGAGTGAGTGAGTGAGTGTGAGTGAGTGTGAGTGTGAGTGAGTGTGAGTGAGTGTGAGTGAGTGTGAGTGAGTGAGTGTGAGTGAGTGTGAGTGAGTGAGTGAGCGCGAGTGAGTGTGAGTGAGTGAGTGTGAGTGAGTGTGAGTGACTGAGTGTGAGTGAGTGAGTGTGAGCGAGTGTGAGTGAGTGAGTGTGAGTGAGTGAGTGTGAGTGAGCGTGAGTGAGTGAGTGTGAGTGAGTGTGAGTGAGTGAGTGAGAGTGAGTGAGTGTGAGCGAGTGAGTGAGTGAGTGAGTGAGACAGTGATGAGGAGGGAGGGCGGGAGGAGGAGGAGAAGGAGAAGGAGACGCGGCGCACGGACGACGAGCGGTAAAAGTAAGAACCCCACACATAGATGTGGGGAAAAAACACTCATTTTTGCAAATTCAAGCAGTTCCTCAACGTATTATTACTGCACTTGGCCCCACCCAGACCCCTAACAATTCCAACATCGCTTGAAACAGCAAAACACCAGTAGTATCTTGAAAAAAAAAGAGACAAATTCATAGCAGCAAGGTAACCCTGATGATGCTGGGGATGCAGATCCTGCGGTTTTTAGCAGGCAAGCCCCAAAAACACTGGACAATTACAGGGTTTTGGACCCAGCACACCATGCCCAAAAAGCCTTCGGCTTTGATAAGAGATCCGAAGGAAGACCAAGTTGCGGACTGCCATCTACACGCTCGACTGGCGTCGGCGGATTTTATTTTATTTTTATGTTTTTAGGGGAACACCACAGGAAAACACATTGGGGCCCCCTACTTGGACACATGTCCATTGTGTTGCTTAATTGAACGCCATACCTGCCGTTTTTCGCCAAGGTTTCCTTTGCGTGCTGTACTTTGTGAATTGGCATAACTTTCCAGTGGATGAAATCCATCATCTTTGCTCTGGCCCATGCAATGTTGGTGGTCGAGGCCCTTGGTAAACATTCTCGTATGACTGGGTAAGGACATGCAGTCTTTTCCCCAGCAATGAAGTAGTTGACACCCAACAATAGCATCTGAGCCTAACTCAAAGTGTAAAACCCTCAGAGTCGTCGGGCTCTTCTTGGCTTGTTTTGGAAGACGACCCAGAGAAGGTCTCCTCAAAGTGCACAGCTCGAGTCCCGGAGACCCCCCGCAGATCGACCCTGCGACGCTGCTGGACACTCGCATGGTGGAGGCTGCTGCAAAGCCTGAGCCCTGGATGGAGCTTTTCGACAAATAAAATCGAAGCTGGGGGACCCAAAAGGAAGCGTTTGGATATGGGCGTGTGGAAAATGAGGTCCCTTTGGTAGGTTGGTTTTAAGTGAAACCAAAAGGAAAGCCGAAATCCGCTTTGAAAGTTCCAATCAAACCATGGCGCTGCAAGTGGTTGCATCTTCCACGAACCCCTGTGTCCTAATTGGTAGCTTTGGTTTGGACGGTAGTGGAATCCATGTTTCTCGAGCAGCGCCTGAAACACGCGGCCGTTTGAGTAGATGGGTAGCAATGGCCGATATAAAGCTTTACAACCATGCGGGAGAAACAGCACATCCCGCCAAGAGACAACTCACTGCAAACGGCCCTAGGTGATGTTGATTGAAAACAACCAAAGCGGGGAAATCTAGCTAAACCCTGTAGCAGCAACCAAGGGTCCATGGGTTTCGTGCGCTCACCTCTTGATTTGCCGGGTGTGCATGATTTGCCCGAGGCGGCAGCGCATCAACAGCTTCAAGGAATTGCAACAGCTCAATAAGAAGGAGCCTTGCCTCGCCTTATCATGCCCCCAAGAGATCCCCCCCCCAGCCAGATTTCGGCTCTTTTCTGACCCCCGCCCCAGCAAAATCCCAAAAAATCCACCAGAAAATGGCCATTTGTTTTCCCCCGAAGGGGATCCCCCAAGAAAACTCAGGACTCGGTTCGCCCCTCTGCCTTGTCGCTGGTTGGATCTGGACATTCAAACAGCCCCTTCGGGCGCTTGGCAATGCCTGGGTTTGTCTCCAGCCCGACCCCCCGAGCTGCACGAATGCGTTGACATGGCCTTTGGGGCGGAACAGCCGGGTCTTCGGCGACCCCAAAGGCCTCTGGGAACAAATGGCTTTTCCAGTACAAAAGGAGATTTCTTGCTCCTTCCGCAACCAAGTTGGACTTTTGTTGGAAGTCGCTTGAACGGATCCGGTGAGTGGGCCCTACCTGACTCGAGCTCATGAGAGTCTATGGGGACCCCATCAAAATGGATTTCGGTCTTCCTTTTGATTTTTCTTCAAGCTAACCTGCAAATGGTACCCTCCAGAAGCCGCTTTCACGCCAGGAAGAGAAGCAGAGCGGGTGCCCCCGCACTTGCATGCGAGTCCGATCAAGGCATGAACATTTTTACATTGCGCAACAGCAGCATCGCAAGTGTCCCAGGCTATGAGTTTTAATAGGGACCGAAAGTGGTTGGTGGATATGAATCACGACCTAAATGACGTAAACTCATAACTTAGGTCGTGTATTGCCCTGAGAGGGATGTGGCTCAGCTGGCAGCCTTCTGGGGCACTTGGCAGCAATGGGCATTGCAAATCTGGACTCCAAACCGACGTGAACTAGCGCTGCGGTAATGAATCTGTTGCTGCTCGCGGGCATTTTGTTTGTCGCCGGAAAAGACACTCCCGGTAAAACGCAGATCCGGGTGATCAAGCCGATGAATCTGTCGGCGCTGGTTTTCATGCATGTGTTCAAAGCTGGAGGCACGTCCTACGGGGCGGCTTTGGCCAAGTATGCGCGAGCACACAAGATCCCGTTCTTCACGGACATGCGGCAGGGCAAGCAGATGGTTTTGCCCAGCGCCATTCTGGAAATGAACAAGAAAGCCAAGCATTTGGCAGAGGACTGGGAGCTCAATGTGTCTGGACACAACCAGCTGGGTCCACTTAGGGGAATACCAAAGGTGATGTAATTTAACCCCAAACAGCAACCACCACCCAAGCGGTTCAACCATCTGTTTTTTTTCTTATTCTTTTTTCCATCTTTTTATTTTTTCTCAATATACAACTAAAAATGTTTGATTTCCTTTCGGTCCAGTTTGAGACATTGAATCCCTCAGAGGCGCCGTCCGGCCGCGGCTTCACCATCTTCCATGGGCATTTGTGCGATTTGGGCCTTGCGAAGCTCAATTCGTTGCACGGAGGCCCTCAGGTTGCCCCCACTTGTTCTTCGGTTCCCAGCCATCCATTTCTATAGTTTTGTATGTTTTTTCTTTTTAATATATATTTTTTGTGGCAGTTTCCACTAAACCCACAAGTCAAACTTTCAGGACATCTGAGGACAGCCCAGTTTTGTTTGTTTTTTGTATTTAAAGCCCTTTGGGGTACAGTGGAGGGCAGTTTTGGCCAAATCCAGAAACCGCCAACAGTTGGGATTGGTGGCATATCCCTGGTACTTGGGGGGTAATGCTGCTGGGGTCGTTTTTGAACAACCGCGTCTCGGGGTTAAAGTCACAATTTTTCTGAATTTAACAGGCAGATTGCGGAATTTATCAGGCGGCGTTTCTCAATCCAACTTTATTTGACAATGACCAAGTAGTAGGGATGGGTATTAGGGATATCTATTCCACTTTGGCGAGTCACAGATTTGGGAGCCTTCATTTTTCTCACTCATGGCTTCGTTTTCTTTGTACCGGAACAGGTACAAAGGTATCCTCTCATTCGTTGGGTTCAGCCAGGTGGCATGTAGGGTAAATTTGGAGCTTGGATCGGCACAGTCGAAATTGTACGGCCCCAAAGACGGGATCTGTGGGGTTTCCTTCGCTGGGTTTCGCTCTCCACCCCCGGGTTTTTGAACCTCCGGAGCCTCAAACGAATCCAGTGGACCGCTCCCGGCTGCGTCTTTCTTCGCGAGGCGTGCTGGGGCCATTTCTGCGGGCGCCTCTCTTCGTGGCGGTGTTGCGGGAGCCGTCGGCGCGGTTGGTCTCCGTGTTCCTGCAGCTCACCGCGGGGTTGCGGCACGAGCGGGGGGCCGCTCTGTCCATGGACCCGAAGACGTTGCAGGGGGGGCGGATGGACAAGGACCGGCTGGAGGACTTGGTATGGGGATGGGTGGGTCGCGGCCGAAACGTTTAAGATTTGAACGGGACGGGCACCCCACGGGCTCGCTGGTCCAATTCCTTCCAGGAGCCGCAGGGTGGTTTTGACAGTTTGGTGGGTTCTTCGTTTAAGGGCATCCCCAAAGAGGAAAGTTTCCCTTTGTTGTTATTGGCATGTCTTCTTTTTTTGCTTGGTTCGTTTTGAGTAGGAGGCTGCAAAGAGCATCGTTTTTGCCACCCTAAGGCTGTGACAGTTCCACAGAAGTGGCTTTGGACTTTCGCCTGGGATCGAAGGACATGTTCGCCCAGTTCATGCGGCAGCAGGAGGTCGCCCAGTGCCGCATCGTGCCCAACCAGGTGCTAGGTGACCCGGCGTTTTCTTTTTTTTTTGGCTGGTGCCATTGGTAGGGAATGTGGGGAATGAGAGCCGGTTTTGGGGATTCTCAGGGAGTGAGAATTGGAATGACCCGACAAAAACAATTCCAGGCCCGATGTGGTTTCCTTACATGGATTTGGGTACGGCAGACCATTTTCATGCCAGGTGTTGATTGTGACCCAGTTCTTTTTCTAGGGTTTGATTCCCCAAGCATCGTTCTTTCCAAAAACTGGCCGTTTTCCCTGGGTTTCCGGAGGTTTTCTTAAAAGAAGCCCCTAGACTTTTGGGTCGTTGGCGTGTTCGACCCCAGGTGCTGCCTGGGCGTCGCCCTGTGCTTCGGTGCATGCCTTGGACTCCGCAAGACTGGCATCCATGAGCCAGCTGCTGGATCCTCGAATTGACCCTAAGAAATCAAGCCGACCGTCTGTTCTGGGGTCGCCTCCAACCCGTTTTTTGTTTTCGCCTTGTTTCTGGGGTCACCTCCAAACGTTGTTTTTCTTCTTTTTCTTTTCGTTGTTTTCTACATGTAGAGTATGCGAAACACTTAGGGCCAAATTAACAACCCCCCAAAACTTGGCTCACGTCGGGGCACAGCAAGTTATTATTTCTTGTGTAGTCTACATAAGATTAGATTAGGAGATCCCGGAAAACGGGTAGTCAAGGGTCCCTTCAATGATACACCTAAAAATAACCTGGTAGGTGTAGAGACCCGTCAAAACAGCTGGTTTTGAAAGGGAACCTTGATCTCTCAACCAGGCCTGTGCATGGGATTCCTGCATAAGCCAAGATGAACATCAAGAAGGGCGGCTCAAGGGAAAAAGGCAACCATCGACTTGTGAAGTATTGAACATTTGTCTATGTCAGGAAGCCAGGACAGACTCTTTTTTCCAGCAGGCCTCTGGCTGATTGGCAACTAGCAGGTAATCCTCAATTGGCGGTTTGGGAATTTGAACCCTAGTTCCTAATGGAGGGCTTGTCTGTTTTGGAGGGAACCTCCTTTTGGTTTAAAGCAGAACCAAAGGGAACACCAAAGCCATTTTTGGGGTCTATTCATATCCCTATTTTGACATATACTCATGCCAGAATGGTGGTTTGCCTTTTCATTTCCCTTTAATGTTGACCCAGGATTAATAAATCCGTCCCATTATTAGGGTTCCCTCCAAAAGTCATGAATCCCCAATAAAAGGTGACACCCCCTATTCATCAACCAGGGCTTCTGCTTCATCCGGGGTCAACATTCATATCCCTACGGCACATACCCAGCCACAAATGGTGGGTTTTTCCTTTTCATCTCCCAACAAAAAAAACCAGAATCCACACCCAGCCATAATTCACACGCCACAGGCAGTGCCCCCCCCCCCCCGAAAAAAAACGAATTCCGCCGGCCGCCCATGTCTCCGGGGCCCCAGCGCCCGAGACCAGCGCCCCGAGGAGCGCTCCGTGCTGCCGCTGCTCACCGAGCGGACGCTGGACTCCGCGGCCTTGCTGGACCACTTCCTGGCAGGTCCGGAACGTTCCGGGGACGAAAAGCCGCCGCGCCAGGTCCGTCCTTTGAGTTGTGGTTCTAGTTTTCTTCTAGGCCTTGATATAAAAAATCAAATGGGGGCTGCTAGAAAGAACTCCAGCTCGGTGATCTCTAGGGGATCAATCCTCCGGAATGCTCATCCGCTCCGCGAGCTCTGCCGTTTTGGTGGGTCTTCCGGAATTGGGACCACACACCCACGAAAGATTGGCAATTTTTCCGGCCTGTCTTTCTTTGTGAGGGTAAGCGGCGGGCAGAAAAGTCCTTGGCTGAAATGTGTCACATATTTTTGATAGGTCTGGAGCTACGCCGCGCATATTTTTTGGTCCACACATTGTAAAACAATGGACCATAAACCGTACACCAAACGTAATTTTCTGGTCTGTCCTTTTTTCCAGGGTTTTTTAGGTGGTGCAGGATTTTGTCCATCCGCGCTATTTTTCCGGTCTGTCCTTTTTTCAGGGGCCCCTCCCCTCCCCCCCCCCCCCCCCATTTTTTTTTGGTGGTTTTGAAAGGACAACTGGCAATTGTTAGGTGACAACAAAAGACAGACCCGTATTGGGTGAAACTGTGGAACAGACTCAGACAATTCAGTGCAGGCAACTTTTTGAAGCATGTAGATTTCTCAAAGTAGGCCAAGCAATAAGGGGTCCACTATTTGGAGAACCCCCCATTGAACAGATGCAATTCGATTTTCAGTGTACAGTGGGCCAAGTTAAAGTGGTAAGATAGTCATGGGGGTGGGAGTTCCCCGTCAGTATCAGAGATTCCGAGCTATTTGCCAGAAATGCCAGGCGCTGGATACAAGCATGCCCCATCCGTGCGCCAGTTCATGCTGCGAAACCCCTTCCGGTGCGGGAAATATCAGGATTGGAGGCAGGGACGGAGGCACGGGGCGCTGGAAGAATGCCGCGATGCTGAGGGCTACCATGTGGACCAAGGGGCTCGGCTTTTGTCCGACGCTATACGCCATGTGGTTTCAGAGTACATGGGTTATGAGATGTGGCTCTACAGCAACTGGGTCAATCAATTTGGCATACATCTTTGCCCTTAAAAAGATGGAAGAACATATTGGGATTCAAAGTTTGGGGGTTTGCTCGAAGGCAATGCAACATCTCTTTTCAAGCGCTACCTGGAAGTCTACAGTATCGACTCCAGCACGGAGCCGTGCAACATCAGCACCTCGGAGGGGTGCAGCAAGAAGCAACGCGCCTACCTGGACATTTGGAAGAAGAAGTCGCTTTCGGAGATCCAGGCGGAACTCGGACGACAGAACGACTTGAGGCGCCTTTCGAGTGCCAAAGAGATCCAGGCGCTGCGAAAGGTGCCGGTCCTGGAGGCGCTCCAGAAGAAGTTGCGCGAGGAGCTGTGAGTTGAGGTTCGGCGAGCTGCGCCAAGAATCGAATCCGAAGCCAGAGAGCGGAGCGCCGGCTTGCCGAAGCCAGGGGCCAAGGTGTCGAAGTAGGGAAGCCCGAAATGGCAGCTTTCCTTTTGGTTCCATTCTGAACCAGGCTGCCCACCTTCCGAAGGACGAGGAATGGCTGGAAGCTTTCCAGTTCGATTGCGAGCAATCATATTTGGTCTTCTCATGGAGACGACCGGCAGGCAGATGTGATTGGCATCGCAGATATCCCTTTCAAGTTAACATTGGCACGGTCAACCTGCACTGCGTGGCATGTGATCAAACATCCCCTCACAGTTGTGTGTTGCAGTGCATGCTCGATGACAGTGCACACGAGTGTACTTCTTGATTGACAAACCTCGCATAGTTGACGCTCCCTTCAGATTCGACTCGCGATTTCTGGTGTCAGTTCGGCAGGCCTTGTGAAGAGTTCGCTTTCACAACTCCAGTGTCTTGCCCCATAGCCACGTGGACCACCAAATAAACCCACACTTCAATTGGATTCAGGCCACGTGAACATGCTAGATCTTTGCGTTATGATCCACTTGTTTGAAGCGCCTTGCTAAGGGGCACGGAGACTGAACTTCAGTCCGAACCATGGGTTTTCCTGCAGCCGTTGGAGTTATAGCATGAAAGTCCTCGACTCATAGCTTTTGGGTGGCGCCCTTCGCCCTATTGCCCATGGCCAAATATTTGGCTCTTGGTCTTTGTCTTCTCTGCAGAGGCGATCCTTGCGGATCCGATGACTGCGACAGCCTTGGCTTGTTTCAGCAACGGATTCATGGAAGCCACAAGTTGCAGAGGGAGGGCGGACTCGCTCCTCCAAGCGGTCCAAACGCGGAAGTGCAGGCGACCTACGCTGCTCTGACCTTTGCATTGAATGAGAGCACAGACTTTGTGAAGGACAAGCTCACCCAGTCTCCGTTGATTCCCAAACAGGCCGTCAGTCTGGGTCTTGGGATTAATATGGAGATTGATCACGTTATGGCCCTCAACAGGCCAGATCTGGTATTTTTCGACCCAGTTTGGACTGAAGCAGGTCTGCAAGTCGACGTGGACATTCACAACTTACATGCTTCGGGTCTTTTGGACGTGACTGCCCCCCAGTCAAAGGGCCATCTCAACCTCACCGGAGGAGGTCATTTTCGTGTGAGTCTCAGCACTGCGGTTTCAGATGGCCGTTTGGCTGTGACGCGGCGGCCGAGTGGCCTCCATCCTTTTACACATTCTTTTTTTCGCCCGGGCATTTCCAGTGAAAGCAAGCCTTTCCCCATTTTTTTTGGGCAGGCCACAAGAATTAAACATTCCATGTTTGGGTTTCCCGTCAACAGGTTGCCCTTCAAAGTCAACAGAGACCACAGGTGCCTTGTTTCATCTTGAGATCCACTGGTTCCCTTATCTCCAGTTTGTTTTCAAAAGCCATCTCCCCACCCCCCCAACAACAGAGAGTCCTTTTTTCCCCCAGAAAATCTGTGCCACGGTATTTGAGAAACGTATTCCGACTTGAACCCAAAAAACACTTCTGAGGTGAAAGTGTACTTTTGTTCCCCTGAAAATCTGTGCGTCTCGGTCTTTGAACCAAACCTCAGCCTTCTTAATCCTGACATGGTTCTGGGTCAACCATTTTAGTACCAGGTTTTGATTATGACTCAGCTGAGGTGAACAAAGAGTCCTTTTTTTCCCCCTGGAGATCTGTGCCACGGTATTTGACAGGTCTTCCGACTTACAAAAACACCAAACCGCTGAGGTGAAAGTCGTTCAGCTGGTGGCTCAAAGCCTCAACGTGGTGCCCGCGATTCACCTCAGCTGCACCTCCGTGGACTTCCTGAGCGCAGTGCCCTGCGCCGTGATCGGCGCGCTGCAGGGCGATGTGCCAGGAGCGCGCCATGAGCAGGTCACTAGTTAGTTAGCTAGCTAGTTAGTTAGTTAGGTTGGTAGTTAGTTAGTTTTTTGTGTGTTTAGTTAGTGAGTGAGTGAGTGAGTGAGTGAGTTAGTTAGTTAGTTAGTTAGGTAGGTAGTTAGTTAGTTAGTTCGTTAGTTTTTGTTTTCTTGGTAGTTAATTGGTTAATTTATTAGATAAGTAGTTAATTATTTCGTTCGTTAGTTTTTTTTTGGGTAGTTAGTTAGTTAGTTAGGTGGTTAGTTAGTTTGTCAGTTTGTTAGTTAGTTCGTTAGATTTTGTTAGTTAGTTAGTTAGTTAGTTAGTTAGTTAGTTAGTTAGGTAGGTAGGTAGGTAGGTAGGTAGGTAGGTAGGTAGTTAGTGGGTTAGTTAGTTCGTTTTTTTTTTTTTTTTAGTTAGTTAGTTAGTTAGGTAGGTAGCTAGTTAGTTCGTTAGTTTTTTGTTAGTTAGTTAGTTAGTTAGTTAGTTAGTTAATTAGTTAGTTAGTTAGTTAGTTAGTTAGTTTTTGCTTTTTAGTTAGCTAGTTAATTAGTCTGATAGATAGTTAGTTTTTGTTTTTTAGTTAGCTAACTAGCTAGCTAGCTGCTAGCTAGTTAGTTAGTTAGTTAGTTAGTTAGTTAGTTAGTTAGTCAGTTAGTTAGTTAGTTAGTTAGTTTTTGCTTTTTAGTTAGTTAGTTAGTTAGTTAGTTACTTAGTTCGTTAGTTAGTTTTTTTTTTTTTTTTTTTTTTTTAACTTAGTTAGTTTTTTTTTAGTTAGTTAGTTAGTTAATTAGTTAGTTACTTAGTTAGTTTTTGCTTTTTAGTTAGTTAGTTAGTTAATTAGTTAGTTAGTTAGGTAGTTGGTTAGTTGGTTAGTTGGTTAGTTGGTTAGTTGGTTAGTTGGTTAGTTGGTTATGGTTAGTTGGTTAGTTGGTTAGTTGGTTAGTTGGTTAGTTGGTTAGTTAGTTAGTTAGTTAGTTGGTTAGTTTGTTAGTTAGTTTGTCCGTTAGTCCGTTAGTTGGTTGGTTGGTTAGTTAGTTAGGTGGTTAGTTAGTTTGTCAGTTTGTCAGTTAGTTGGTTAGTTAGTTAGTTGGTTGGTTGGTTGGTTGGTTGGTTGGTTGGTTGGTTGGTTGGTTAGTTAGGTGGTTGGTTGGTTAGTGCGTTGGTTAGGTAGGTAGTTTGTGAGATGGTTGGTTGGTTGGTTGGTTGGTTGGTTCGTTGGTTCGTTGGTTAGTTAGTTTGTGAGATAGTTGGTTGGTTGGTCGGTTAGTTGGTTGGTTGGTTGGTTGGTTCTCATGGATGAGCCCTAAGTTCCAAACAAGCCGCCAACCAGAACAGAGAGCATCGAATGAAGCCTTTGTGCAATCATGATACAACCACTATGGTTCAAACAACCTCCCTTTGTGTCTCTTAGGGAGGCCAAGTCGGGTTTGGTTGTTGAAAACCAATTGAGCACCTAAAGCCCTTGGCCATTCTTGTAGGTGGTTCTACTGCCTGGTTTCGTAGTTTCATGGGGCTTGTAGCAATGCCGATTCACCGGCTTTTATTCATGTTGGTAGGTTTAGTGGGTAGTTCTAGTTTACTCACTGATTTGGCAAGATTGCAACAAGGCCTCTATAAACCTTTGTAGCCATTCTTGTAGAACCAACAGTTCACATTCTCGCCATGAGTAGGTTGTGGGCGCTGCTCGAGTGAGGTTCTTTTTGGTGGGTGTTTTTAGATGTGCAAAGGGGAAACACTGGGGAGTCCTTTAATGACCAGGATGAAGCACCCCTGTTTGGTTTCCCTTGAAGACCAAAAACAGGTGCTGGTGGTTGAAACACATTTTGCAGATAACCTTGTGCCAAGTTCTAGGGCAGGGCTCTCTATATTTCCGGTTGGGCCCATTTTCGGCGAGTTTCTGGGGGAACTCTGACGCGCATGATTTTTTGAGGGCCACCCTTTTCAGGCTTGAGAGGGATACCAAAGGCATACCAGTTTTTGTGTTTTTCCGTTGTGACCGACACTCGTGTGGAAATACAATATTGGTCATGTCTCCACACAGACACACACACACACACACATCGTGCCCACACAAGTCCAATTAGTAGAATCTGTTTCTGAAACCCACGGGAACCAACTGAACCCAAATCTCCAGGATTCATCGTGGACATCATCGTCTTCTTCGCCCAGTCAAGCATCGAAGAGGCCCTGAAGAATGTGGTGGAGAGCAGCCTGGCGTTTTTTTCCCACTTCGATGAGGTCCTCGAAAGTCAACCCCCGTGGGAGAGACAGATGGCCATGGGTCAAAATCCTAATTGTGCCCCCCAGTGAACATCCCAATCTCGACTAAAATAGGTTCTAAAATGGGTGGTGGATTCACCTACCTCAAAATGGGATCCCAAAACGGTTTTGACCGACAGCCACTTGAGCGAAGAAAAGAGACACTCTGGTGGCTTTTCTGTTTCCTCTAAATCCAAAGGGTGTATGTCGAAACCGAGGGGGTTCTGAAACAGAAAGATTTCCCGGCGCCGCTTCTTTTTTTGGGCTGAGGCAAGCTGGCGGAGAACCTGGCCACGATCCCGCGGAAGTTTCCGCTGCAGTTCGGGAACAGGAGCGGCGAAACCGGGTGCGTTTTGGTTTTGGGCCGCACTTTTTTGTGTTTCAACGGGCAACCACAGGGGAAAGCCGGCTTTTTTGTTTGTTTTGGGTTTCTTTGGCCTTATGTTTGAGATATACCGGATATACTCCAATGAGGGGTGCTTTTGGCCTGTATTTTCCACAAGGCTTACTTTCTGAACCCTCTGGGATGACCGAATAGCCACCTCCATCGGCAACACACCCCGCTCTCCCGGTCCCGCTTTGGAAGCATGCCAAGACGCATGAGGGAGAATGGGTCATGCGGAAGTCCCGCTCTTTCTCCTCGAAGCTCCGGAAAGTTCCAGGGTTTGGACCCTCGAAATGTCGGGGACTTGCAGCTCCCTGCCTGAAATGTCCGGCCTTCCTTTGAGGCCAAGTCGGGAAGGTGAAGCTGAACACTGGCAAGCCAGTCCCAAGTGGCTATCCACCCTCTGGGTTCATGGCAGTAGGTTCGCGACCGAACTCCTCACCGGTTTGGAAAATGGAGGGTACTCTGAAAAGCGGTCGAACTTGTAGTCACTCTTCAGTCGGCAGGTGAACCTCTTATCCTTGTGCACATGGCGGCTTGCTATCAACAAGTTGTGTTTAGCTCTTGGAAAACAATTGCTTCCCATCAACTGTTAAAGGTGGTCAGGACATCTTAGATGCCACAGTTCCCAGTGATTTATGACCAACAAACCCGCAGGGGGCTTGTGCCATTTTTTGTTCTTCACCGAACAGGCAGAGGTGTCCTTTTTAGGTTAGTTTGGTTAGACATAGCTAGCCCTGGTTCATATTAGTTTTATTCCATTTATCAGGGCCATCCTATCTTGCCTGCCTAAAGGTCACCCAACAGGCGTCCCAAAAAAGGTAAAATGTAGGGGGGCCACCCCACCCCCCCGCCCCAACGCGGTGAGTTTTGGGCCTTGGTGCCTCCATTCGAGGCCATCCTGTTTGCACCTTGCCTTTGACCTTCTGGGACTCACACATTTACCGCACATGAAATCCGCTGCCCTGCAGGCAGGGAGTGACATGTCCGTTTGTCCGACGGTGGGACATGGGTGAGTTTTTTTGTTGGGGGTCTAAAACTTCTTGGTGTAAAAAAACACCGAAGCACGCGGACCGAAGAGGGGCTAGTTTCCCTTCTTGCATTGAACGACCACCCCAAAGAGGAACATGTCTTTTCGAAGGCCCAAACGCCTGGTGTCTGGGGATAAGTTCCGAAACCGGGTCCATTTTAAGATTTCACCCCCCACCCTTTCCGCATGGGGTTCTGACGTTCGGGACAAAAGTTTCCTTCAAATTGAAAATCGGACCAGGAACCACGAAAATGTCCGGTTCCACGTGGATTGGTGAGACCCTCCGGCTACCCAACCCAAACGCATCTCGCTCGCGGGAGGTGCAGGCGGTGGACGCGTGCCGTGGCCAGTCCGTGGCCTCTGCGCCCAACAGCTCCGTGGAGCTGGCGCCGCCGGCGCAGGTGGGGGCCTGGAAGCCTGGGTGATATCACCGCCCCACCCCCGCCCAAACCAAAAAAGAAACAAAGCGAAGACAAAGAGCAAAACACAACAAAACGAAAAACACAAAATACAGCAAGGTCAGATTGTAGTTTTTCCCCCAACAGCTGAAAGCTTTGGGGTCTCAGCCCAGATAGGCTCCGGGGCGGCCCTGAGGTAAGGTTCCACGAGGGTTCCACGAGGGTTCCACCAGGGTTCCACCAGGGTTCCACCAGAGTTCCACCAGGGTTTTACCAGGGTTCCACCAGGGTTCCACTGGGTGCGAAGTGGTGCGAGCACTACAAAAGAGCACCGCATGCTGTTGGGGATATCACCCGAGCTTATCATTTTTCTTCTCCGGAGTCATTAGTCTGGGGAACCCCGTGGTTACTCTTCGTACAAACCAACCGACACAATGTGCGCTTTGAACCTTTGGGAGAATGACACAGACGCTTCCCAGCAAACAACAAATGACTTTTCTTGGTGGCTCCCAGCCATCCCTTTAGCCTTTTAGCCTTTAGCCTTTTGGTGTTTAGTGGTGGTTTAACTTTTAGCGGGTGATCTGAGGGCAGCCCAGTTTTGTTCGAGCAACCAGACGAGTTCCAGAAACGAGCCAGGTGTACAACACCTCCATGTTCTCCATAACGCTCAGCGGCAGCGTGGCCAACGATGTCTTGCAGATCATGCATGACACTCAGCTGCTGCAGGTCACTGTGTTCCCCAAGGATATTCCGGCGGACAGCACGTTTCTGGGCTCAACTCTGGTTGGCTCGCAGATAGTCAGGAGTTCTCTGGTTCTGTATCGGGTTTTCAAAAGGGTAGACCCCTTTTCGGATCCCCCCCCTTGAGGGGTCTCAAATGACCATGGGAAACTTTTCCCATGTGGGACATATCTCATTTTGTTTTTGCGGTTTCCCAACCAATGGTCAATCCCACTCCTTTTTTTTCTCCTTTTTTTTTTCTTTCTCTCGGACCTTGTGATCAACCCCCATATCCATTCGGACCCCCAAATCTGGCAGGTTTGGTCTGGATACCAACACTCTGGGCTGGGCCTTCTATTGCCCCTGGCTGGCGACCAAGTATCTTGGTCGGGTATAAGTCTTTTAGCTTGTTGTTAACCATGTTTGTATTTTCCCACTAACCTGCAACAAGCAGCATTTGGGTTCAAGTCTTCACTTAGCTTCAACTACCTTTGGATCTACCTCTAGCTTCTTGCTTGAACATGTTTGTCCGTTCAATTTCTTTTTGTTTTAATAAAACAAATCTGGTTTTGGTTTTGGTTTTGTATTTTGTTCCCCAGCCAAGGTACATCTGGGAATGCCCCTACTGGGATCCTTGCCCTGTGGCAGCCACGATTCGATCTTCCAGCCCTCCACAGGCCGGGCGCACGGAAAAGTCCACCAACAAAACCATCCCCCAAACGCCGACTCACGTTTTTTTTGGTGTGTGTGTGTTGTTTTCTTCTTTGTCCCCCTTTTTTTTGATAACACAACAATATGATAGCTTTTTTTTTTCACCATCAACATTTATATTACATTGGCGACCAATGGGTGATGTTTAAAACCACCCTTCAATTCAGGGGACATATTACTATAGTATAGGGAAGCATGACAGGTGCAGATGCGGGAAGGTGGGGTGGAGATGACGATTCCCTTGTCAGTGGATTTCCTCTTGCTGGACTTTGCGGAGAACGAAACGTCCACGTCATTGCGAAACAGCACCTTCCTGTGGAGAGTCAACACCACTGCGCATGCAGTGATGCTGCCAAAGGTTGCAAGTAACAGAGGTGCGCCATGTAAGCAGACCTTCAAGGCGACCGTTGACTCTTTGAATGCAACCTGGTTTGATGTCACAGAGACGATGGAGGACTCCTGGGTGGCTACTGCTCTTTCCATTAACGTTTTCATGCCGGTACTGCTGAGTTATCCGCTGGAGATCATGAATGAGCACCTGGATGAGGGCGTGCCTATCGATGCAATTGGACTGGGCAGCTCCTTGTACGCCTTTGCAAATTCCTCTTTGTCGCCATCTGCTGATAGCATCCTCTTCAACACCGATGTGCTTCTAGCCGAAGATTGCTGATGCCACAGAATTCAGTAGAACACGACTTAGGATCAGAACAAGTGATCCGAAGTGATTCAATCCAGAAAAACCGAGCGTGGGTGTGGGTCAAAATTGGGTACCCAAAAGGCCCAAAATGGCTTGCCCTGGGTAATGGAACGGACTCAAATCTGCGGTCCGATTCCTAGTGGTCTCATTTTGATCCAGAAACTGCGCGTGTTGCACAGCTCACAAATCGGTCACAGGGCGATGCATTGCCAGCGCCTTTCAGCGCCGCTCCCAGGTACCTCCAGGAGCTGCTACAAGATCCGTCCTCCTCTTGAGGCCGCTGTAGAAGCCCATAGAAGCTGTGCTTGAGCCACAGAAAGAAGACGTGTTTTCGAGCGGTTCATCGCTTGACCGCTCATAGGTTCAGGTAATTTTTGGTGGTTTGGATTAAAGGGATTTGAACCCTGGTTCTTGTGGGTAAATGGGAAGCCGAGGAAGCCTAGCCTCCAAAGCTTGAATGACCACCAATCGGAGGGAAGCTGAGGCCAAACACGCCCCAAATCGCAAACTCCAAAACGAAGGGTACTGGTTTTGTGTGGCCAGTCTCTATTCTTGGTTGTGCGCCACTTGCTCTTTGACCTTGCGCCGCTGCCATATGATCGGCGTATCAGCCTTGAGTCAATGACAGATCAAGATAGACAAAAAACATGATAGCCCGAAGGTTAGATCTCTGTGCGAAAGTTAGCTTCCGTGCTGTGGCACCATGGCAACTCGTGTGCTGACCTCAATGATCTTGTGGAAGGCGGAGAGGAATGCGGGCCGATTTGCAAGAAGACAAACTGAGCCACAATCAACACTTGATGAAGCTACCGGAACAGTCCCAGCCTGAAACAGCCCTTGTGATTCTTTTCCCCAGGTTTGGGTAGAGTTCTTCACCCACTTTTGCTGACTCACCTGGAATTGCTGCCAAGGGCCCAAGAAGGCCTATGATTTCTGGGTGGCGTTCAACTCCATTCCTTTCCTCGGGCCCCTTGGTGCGGATTGAAATTTGAGCCCCCGCTTCGCGGGATACCACGGCCGAAGCCGGGGCTCAGGCCGTGGGCTTCGCTTTGCGCCTTTCTCCCGGCCGCGCTTCCCTCCGGAAGCCGCTGGCGGTCAGGCGCCCCTGGCCTTTTTCTTACGACAAGAAGAAAAGGAAAACCGCCGCCTGCGACGGGGCGTTTTTTTTTTTTCCCGAAGAAAAGGAGTTGGCGTTGATTGCATTTTTGTGGAGTTTTTTTTTTTTGGGGGGGTTTCTTGGTTTGTGCCTTTATAGATGCTTCGACACGCGCATTTTTGTTGTTGAGTCCTTTTTTTCTCCCTAACATCAGGGTTTCGGGGTTTTGGGGGTTTTGGGGGGGGGGGAAAAAATGGAGAAAGTAGGGGGCCTGGGGGGTGGTCTGTTGATGGTTGCCTGTTCTGGTTTTTATGTTCATCTCAAATCTATGTTCCCCCTTATTCGTTTTTAAAAGAGGGTTTTTAGGGAGCTTATTTATCGTTTTCGTTAAGGTAATCATTTGGGTAAATTGTCGCCTTGTTCATTGTTGGGCTGGGGGCAAACATTTTTTTCATTTGAAAGAGGTAGCCCTTTTAGTAGTTATCAAGTTCTGGGGTGTTGGTGGTGCATTTGTTTTGATATATGTTTTGTTATTGAAAGTTTGTTATAAGTTAAAATTATAGTATAATGAAAGGTTAAAAAGATTTACAATGTTTAATCATATTATAATTAAGTAATATGAATCAACTAAATCACTCATGCTTTCCATCTACCTATTCCATCCCACCAGAATTCAATAATTCGCATCTGTCCATCTACTAGACTGTCTTCTTTGTTTAGTTTCCGTATCGCACCTGATAAGATATAGTGGTTAATAATCATTGCTTCACACTTTCCATCTCGGTTTAACTTTTTACCACACTCTTTTATAATGTCTTCGTCTGTTAGGTTTTCATACATTTCATTAATGATGTCAAACCTAACAAAGGAGTATATCGTCATTAAGTTTAGTCCGCTATTGTCTCTAAACCTGTTAATGACAACTTCCCAGAATTCCTCATCTCCAGTTGTAGGCAAAGGGTGGTTATTCACAAAATCCATTATTTCTTTATCCTCTTCTTCAATACTCATACTCTCCTAATATTATAAGGTGCTATTCCTTTAAGTAATTTTATTTAATGTTGAGGGTTCGGGTTCTGGTTGGTTTTGCTTTAACCATTCCTGATGTTTCTTAGTTTTAATATGTTTGCTCATATCTGCTTTTCTTGTAATTGACCCACACTCACACTCAATCTTTTCTTTGTTCTTTTCACTAAGGGCAACTTTACGTGTTTCATAAAGTTCTCTTTGTCTTTTGGTTAATTCTTCTTTATTTTCTTGATAGTGTTCTCTTCTTCTTTCATTTATTTCGTCTTGGTGTTTGTAATAACTTTTCCGCGCTTGTTCATTTACTTCGTCATTAAATAATTCTCGTTTTGTTCTTGCCCTTTCGGCACAGTATTCCTTATTATGTTCATACCATTCTTTTCCTATTTGACTTAGTCTTTGCTTATTGTCCTCACGATATTCTTTCTTGGTTCTTCCTTCTATCTTCTTATTAACACAATCATTGTTTCTGATATGAATGCCTTCTTGTCTTTGAAGCATTGATTTACTATCACTCGGAAATGTCTCTATCAATTCAATCTTACAATTTTCAATACCAAACTCATCAAACAACAAAACAACATTTGTATGTTTCTTTCCAGTTCTTAAGTATTGCTTGTATTTGTCCCTATGCCTTGCCATTCTCATACATAAACATTCACAAGTGCTTCCTATATAACATTTGTTATAACCATTATCGGTTATTTTGTAAATCTTACCATTTTTATAACGGTTCTCCATAATTATCTTTAATTATCATTTCTTTATAGTATTTTCTTTCTAATTAATAATATAATGGTAAGAAGATTAGCAAAAGACGAGATTATCAGTAATGTCTATTACAATCTGGATACTGGGTATGGTAGTATTCAAGCAACTCACAAGAAGGCAAAGGAAGAAGACCCAACAATAACATTAGACGATGTAAAGTCTTTCTTAAAGAAACAACCAAATAAACAAATCAAAAATTATAGAGGCACCAATTCCTACACCGCACCGTTTGCCAGATATGAATACCAAATAGATATAATGCACATGACACCACTTGTTAAGGATAAAGACACACCAGAGTATGCTTTAGTTGTAATTGATATTTTCAGTAAATTAGCGGATGTAGTGCCTATGTTCAATAGAGATGGTGAAAGTGTTGAGAAAGCATTGAGAGAGAGTTTCAAAAGAATGGGATATAGTATGTCGGTGTATTCCGATGACGATGGCGCTTTCGCTAACAAAAACAATGTCCAAAAGTTTTTTGAAAGTGAGGGAATAAACCACATCGTTACGAAGACCCACGCAAATGTGGCCGAGCGTTTTATTAGAACGATGAAAAACAAAATTCACGATAGAGTTAGGTTTAACAACATGAAATGGACCGACGCCCTAACGCCGGCATTGAAACAGTATAACAGCACATCTCACTCATCAACAAGGATGACACCGACCGATGCACACAAGGACGACAATGAAATAAATGTAAAGGTCAATCTTAAACTACGAGAAAAAAACAAAAGAAAGTATCCCAAAATAGAGGAGAATGACAAGGTAAAAGTGTTCCAAAAGAAAAGGGGTAATTACACCGACAGAAAGGAGTATAACTCTAAATGGTCTAATAAAATATTCAATATCGATAAAATTGAATATGATATTATGGGTAATAAAACTTACAAAGTAGCAGAAATAAACAAACCGCTTTTGAGACACGAAATTTTGTTAGTTAATGATTAAACGTATTTCTTGGTGTCTTCTTTATACTTGACTTGATAGTAATCCAGACTTGATTGTTTAGGTTCTTTTATGATTTTTTCATTCAGTTTTTTAACATAAATGTTTCGTTTATTTTTGTATTCGCTACTGTCTCTATCTACTTCTTTTGCTTGATAATTGTTATTGTTATTATATGTAGGTTTAATATTCATGCTCTTTAAGATGTTCAGTATGTTTTCATTTTGCTCCAACACTTTTTCTAATCTTGGAAACAACAACTCTAAACTACTGTCAATGTTCGCTAAATGTTCCTCCATATATACTAAATTATAAAACTAAACTTTTAAAACTAAATGTTGCAATTATGTTAAATCTACTCTTTAAATACTATTTTTTCATCATTTGTTTAACAGTTTCCTGAGTTTCCTTATCGCCACTATCGGATGGTGATGCTTGCCGACCCCATTTAAAAGTTATATTATGAACATCTGTTTCTAAATTGATACTGTCTTTGGTTTTATCGATATTTATTCGTTTATCGTTTTTACTTAGTTTGAAACTTGTCGGAATACACGAACATTTACAATTTCCTTTCTTTTGAATTTCTAATTCATTTTTCATTTCTAACATCTTTTTACACATTGGACAAGCAAACTCAATAACTGATGTTTCTTTAACAATTTCTTCTTTTTCTTCATCACTCGAAGAAACAACTGGCTCGGACTTATTCTTTTTCTTTCTTCCCATCTATATTAATATTTATATTTTTAATATATTGTATTCCTAACTTAATTAATTCTAATGAATAATAACAACATTTCTTAATTTTATTATCGGTTATTATTACTTGTTCTATATTTTCTACTTTATCTATTATATCAATATAATCCGAATAACTTCTATTCATATAAAATAATAAATATAAAATATTTTCTAAATAACTTTAATATTATTTTATTATGTCTGATGTTCCAATAATAAAACCAATAAATATAACTGATTACGATTTCAAACAATCCAAATATGAACATGTACCAAAACTACCTTTTCGCTCAATTGTTGTTGCTTCATCAACGGGTGGCAAAACAGTTTTAATTCAAAACCTTATCCTAAATGTTTATAGGGACTGCTTCGCCCGTATATTCATTTTTAGCCCGTCGGTTCATAATGACCCTACCTTCGTTGAAGTCAAGAAATATCAAAAAGATAATA